GCCAGGAAGGTGAAGCTGGAGCTGAAGGAGCGGAAGGAGAAGAAGCAGAAGGTGGATGAGGACGAGATCCAGAAGATGCAGTGAGTGCCGGGGACCCGTCCCAGATCCCCCTTCTCACCCCCGAGAGCCGCCAAGGCACAGCCCAGCCCAGCCCTGCCCCGGCTGGGGCGCCTTTGCATGGCGGCCGCGGGGACCCGAAGAAGCCTCAGAGCTGTATTTTTGCTGTGACCGATCGTTCTTCCCCCCCCGCAGGATTCTGGTCTCGTCCTTCTCCGAGGAGCAGCTGAACCGGTACGAGATGTACCGTCGCTCTGCCTTCCCCAAGGCCGCCATCAAACGGGTACGACGGGCAGGGGCGTTCGGGATAGGGCTGAGGGGCCCCCCGGGCCCCTCCTCAGCCGCCCCGGCCCCGCGGCTCAGCCCGGTGTCCCGGCACTGCCGATCCCGAGGGATTCCCGGGCGGTGCCGGCGCGGGGCTGCAGCTCGGGGGGCCGGGGGTCTCTGTGGGTCAAGGTGAGGGGCTCTGACTGTCCCTGCCTGTCCCCCCAGCTCATCCAGTCCATCACAGGCACCTCGGTGTCCCAGAACGTCGTCATCGCCATGTCCGGCATCTCCAAGGTCTTCGTGGGGGAGGTGGTGGAGGAGGGTGAGTGGCAGCTGCTGGGGGGGAATTCAACCCCCAGAGCTCAGGACACAAGCAGGGCCGGGGGTCCTGCAGCCTCGGGGCCTGTCACAGGGAGCAGGGGGAGCACAGCCCCTCTGTCCACAGCCCCCCAGAGCCCACCCAGCCCTGGGTTTAAGCACATCAGTCCCTGTGGGACTGGATCCAGCACATCCACACTGGCTGAGTGGTTCAGAGGCCCTTTGTCCTGGTCACTCCTGGGACTCCTGTCAGGGAGGAGCTCCTGGAGCAGGTTCATTCCTGGGCATTGGCAAAGCAGGAGCTGTAAACCCTAAACACAAGCATTACCTGTTGCCTTTCCAAGTGCAGCTGAAGCAGCAGGAGAGGGGGAGGGCTCAGGTGTCCCCTCCTGTGACCTCTGTGTTTGTTGTTCAGCCCTGGACGTGTGTGAGAAGTGGGGGGAGCTGCCCCCCCTGCAGCCCAAGCACATGAGAGAGGCCGTGCGGAGGCTCAAGGCACGAGGGCAGATCCCCAACTCCAAGTACAAGAAGATCATCTTCCACTGACTGGCCCCGGAGCAGAGAGGGGCTGAAACAGCAACCTCTGGGACCCTCCCCAGCTGAGCCACAACCTGAGGCCCCTTGGGGAGGGGTGTGAGACCTCGGGGACCACAGGGACAGTTCTGAGTCACTGCTCAGGACCCTGCACTGGGCAGAGCCAGGAGTTGCTCCTGACCTGGAGCCACGGGCTCCTCTGCCTCAGCACAGCAGGGAGAGGAACATCCACGGCCTTCAGAGTATTTACCCCCCAGGGCTGTGCTTCCTGCTGGCCCAGATGTGGCTTTTTTTGTACATTAAAGTTGTTCTGTGTTGGTGGCCCGGCTGGACTCGCTGTGTGCCAGGGCAGGGCAGGATGAGGCTGTGCCTCAGCCCACCACAAGGTGCTCCTGGAGCTGCTCCCAGCCTGGGGCAATGCTGGGTCCCTGGGGCCTCTGAAGTCATGGCTCAGCTGTGCTTCCAAAGCCAGAAAA